CACTTGTTTTTTTTTTATACAGATATACAAGACCTATTTTCTCGATTCGCTAACAACATACTACATGCAGAAGCTGAATTTTTCGTATATTTGCATCGCTGCTGCAAGCTCACGTGGGTCTCTGAACAGATACTTCTATTAGCAATAGCAAGGTGAGAGTTTGTTGATAACTAGCGAAGTTGGCATAACGAAACGGGTCGTATGCTTGAGCGTGGAAGTTCCAAGGCATCGCATTCTGAGAAGTGCAAAAAACTGAAGACCTTTAAAGTAGATTGGTTTCGTGATAAAAGATTTTACAATTACTTTTAATCAACTGATACTGATGGTGGAATGAAAGGCTTAGCTTGGAAAGTAGGTTTTTGTGTCAGCTCTAAAAATGATTTGTGGAAGCACACTTGTACACAGTGTCATGGCAAAGCAATGTTAAATTTTATGGCACCTGCGATAACTTCCTTATCGAAAAAAGAACAATGTGAACAGTCTGAGCTCAGCTTAAGCTTTTTTTTCGCTCACCGTAAGACCAGTATTGACATTATCAATGACTTGCTTCCTTTAATTAAAAATTGTCTGAGAATCCTGAAGCCACGCAGTCTATGTCAGTTGGTAGTACGAAATGCTTGGGACTTATTGTTAATATTTTAGCTCGGGAAATTAAATTAAAAGTGGAAGAAATCTTGAAAAAAGTACCGTTTTCTTTGCTGATAAACGAAAGTACAGATCGCAGCAATGAAAAACTTCTTTGTGTTACAGTTCAATATTATGATTTTGAATCGATTGAAATCGGAAGTCTTTATTTAACTTTCATTGAATTAGACGCAACTTTGGCTTTTGCAGAAAAATTTTTGAATCTTTTAAAAATAAATTCGAACAGTTAGAAATTTAATGAGAAAATGTTAAATTAGAATGTAACAATGTAAATGGTATGATCGGTCATTTTAATTTTTTTGCTAGTAATTTGAGAAAACTTTCACCTAATTCTATGCTTATGAATTGTATTTGTCATTTATCTGCTTTCATCGTGAAGCACCGTTATGCGTGTATTCCTACAGATGTAGACTTTTTTAATGGAAGATAGCATGTTACTTATCGAAAAGTCCAAAACAATTTTCAGTTTTTAATTAATTTTAGACGAACGCAAAGTTGAAGACAAATCACATAATAAAAATATCTGGAACTAGATGGCTTGAAGTGTTTGAATGTGTCGAACGGGCTGTGGAAAATTGGGTGTGATTGCAGCAGTTTTTAATCGTAAAAGTTTTTGAGTCATCTGAAGAGACTAATACTGTTGACAAGTTGCTTTTGTTGACGAAGTCTGACACATTTCAATGCATGATATTAGTTTTGTTGTACGTTTTGCAAGACTTCGATAATTTTTAAAACAGTTTCAAACATTGACAGTAGTTTGGCACGTTCTGTCAAATGATTGCAGCTGGAAGCTTAAAGAATGCGCGTTAAATTTTTTAAAGCCCAAAATTTTTTAAAATCCTCGTTCTGTTAAAAGGTTTCAAAACCTTTGTTCTCTTAATTTTGTGAAAAATTCTTGTTTGCAATATTATCAAAGATTTTTTGAAGAAATAAATAAGCTCTTTTTTATAAACGACGATTTTTTGAGTAAAAGAGACTTTTTAAGGCTGGACAATGCTTTAGATCCTGCAGTTAGAGAAGCGATGCCCGATTTGTATAATCTTTGCGACAAGTACTTTTCAAACATTAGTAAATTTTTTGCTAGTATTGAATGGAGAAATTTACCGTTACACTTTTCTGACAAAAAAGTCGTAGAATTAAGATCTGTTGAAGTTGATTAATTTTCGGGTCCAATCTTTTGCAAGAAACAGGATGTAGGTAAAATTTTATAGTTTCCTGAGCTTTCAAAATCAGTTTAACTTTGCTGTATTCGAACGCGTTGTCACAGAGAATTTTTTCAATTGTCAATTACATTAAATCTGTAAAGAAATTGACAATGGAAACACCGCCTCTAAACACGTATTGTTAGATCAAAATTTGTTGCACCATTAAAAGTATTAACTCTTTAAATTTTGAAGCTTATCAACAACACTCTCAATTATTCAGTGTGGAAAATGGTCATACAAGCAAAAAAAAAAAAAAAAAATAATTACTCTACTTAATACTAGAATAAAACAACAATAATGATACTAACAATAATACTTTTTATGCTTTTAGCGAAAAGTGGCACTACCACAATTTTTTATTCAAACTATTTTTTTGTTCAGTTAATTCAATTAGTTTTTGAATATTTATAAAGAAATGTCGATTTTTGTTTAACGTTGCTATCTTGACATCAAAATAACTTTGCATCTCGTGTTAAATTGATTTAAGAATTTTGTTGCCTAGAACTTTTTTTTTTAATTTTTTTTTTTTCTTTTTTTTTTTTTTTTCATTTTGTTCGTAAATGTAAATCAATAAACGCGCGAGTAATGTGGCCACAGTAAATGTTCTGGTCTCAAGCCCGAAGAAACTATAGAGAGAGCGTGCTTTAATAAACATACTGTGAGCGATGAACTTTTAAAAATTTTTTTTCATTTAAACGACGATACATTCATGGATTTTATTAATTATGCTATCTAAAATCAGCATAAATTTTTTAACTATTTTTTGTTGAGTGTTTTTAGGATGTACACAGAAAAAAATTGAGAAATTGCAGCATCAGCTTTTATGGCAATCCATATTTTTTGACACGTATTTCCAAGAATAAAAACGTTTAGCGAAGTAAGTTATTAATGATACACCAATAAAACAAAAGCTCGTGCAATTTGGGACAGAGTAAGATATTGAATAGTGTTGCTTACCGACCATAATAATTTAATAGTAAATTAAATTAAAAATCATCAAGACGTGTCATTTAGTAATTTTTAAATACTAAATAATACTTTAACTATAAGTATCAATACATGCGTTGAACTATTTTATTATTTGACGCTCAACTCACTAAATATTACAGTTTAGGTCTTCTTAAGAGTCCACGAATGATTTGATTGTATTTTACTTACCCTATATTGTACAGAGTATTTGTAAAATGTATGTTTTTCTCATACCCCCGCTGAAAGTACGACTTTGTTCCCTATTTTCAGGGAGCAAAGTGCAACATTCCTCCTAGGCAAAAGATCGCACGTACTGCTCGTAGGAAAAGTATTTTTATATCCCCTGCATGATTGCCTTCATAGGATGCCAAAATACCTTTCCTAATAAGCAGTAAATGCGATTTTTACCTGAAATTTTATGTTGTATTTTTTTTTCCTGAAATCATGAAAAAACGTCGTATTTTCAGCAAAAAAAAATAAGAAATTGTATACGGGCCTCGGAAAGAAAGTGTAGCATCATCTCACAAGTATTTGCCACCCTCGCCTTCGGCTCGGGTGGAAATTCACACCTGGGAGGGAATGCCGTACTTTCTGTCGTACTAAAACATTATGCATGTGCTTATGGAGTAACATAAACGTGGCATTAAATTTTATCGGTAATATACATTTAAACTTTGGTTTGAATAAAAAAAAATTATGATCATTTTTTTAATAAAAAAAGTAATTAATCATTTTGCTTTGTCGAAATTATGCATAGTAACGACTCGTCACATGTGCCAAGCATTTATGTAAAAAAACGTTACAAATCAACAAAATATTTTTTTAATACAAAAAATTATTTTATACACATTGTGATGATAAATAAAAAAATTTTTTTTTTAAATCAGCGAGATTTGAAACCTGGCATGTTTGGCTGGAGCAAGAGACTTAGCTCGCTTAGCTATTGTCGATCGTACTTGTAATGTACAACATGTCATATTTAAGTTGTGTGAAGCAGGTGGGGCTTAAGTTAAAGGTCTGAATGTCCCATAAAAAGATATGCTTCAAAAATCGAAACCTATCAAAAACTATCCATGCACTTCTGAGTGCATACTGAATCGCATCTGATTCCTGGACTACTTGAAATTATTAAGATAGGAACTTACAAACGGTATACATACAGTTTACCCGGAAGAGAAGGAAGAGAGAAAAGAAAAAGAAATAAGGTAAAGGATCCAATACTCGACTAGGCACCATTACTCGACCACAGTATTTATGTCATCTGCACATGTGCAAAAGTAAAATTTTGTCATTTACACATGCGCAGAAATAAAAAATGTACCTCGATTTAGGTGATCAACGTTTGGGGTAAAAAAGGTACGTTTGTGAATTCTTTGAAGTAATCAAATTTTTGACGGCAATCCTTTTTTATTTGCATTGCTATAAAGTTAAGTAGTTTGTTTATGCTGTCCAACAGTTGCAGTGCTAAATTTTCATAATTATTTTATTTTTTTGCACAATCAACCTAAAAACTGTGTACAGTGGTCGGGTATCGGATCCTTTACTTTAGAGACAAAGTGACCTTAATTACATAAGAGCAGTCAGAATACGTACACTGGTGGTCCTTTTATACAGCAAATAATGAGTTTTATTTATAACGTAACAGTACAAACAACATTTGTAACTATATAAAGAGTAACATTACAATTGTCATAACCATGATCTAAGCATCCATAAGTAAAACAATGGTTACTTCTGGTAATTGTTTACTTCAAACTAGCTTAATCATTCAAACTTCTCCGTTCACGTATGTAAGGAATTATTTAATTTTTGAGAATTCTAAGTATCTTTAACGTTTTTGTTAAAGTTACTTGATAAGTGCACGAAATTATTGAAAAAATGTAAGGTGTTCAAAATTGTGAGAAATGATCATTTTTGTGATCAGAAAGTAATTACTTTAAGTTTATCAGGCAATTTTTCTAATAATGAAAAGGATTAATTATTGACGGCATTTTTTTCAGTTCTTACTTATTTTTTGCATATTATTAGAAATCTTATTTGATCTTGCAGATATACTTCTAACATTTTTACAAAATGCAACATTAAAATATTGAAGTATTTAAAAGTGACAGTGCACTAATAAAGGTCTTAAAAACTATGAAAACTGTTCATTCTCGTTGTCAATCGTTATCAAATTTTTAGGTGACATGATGACCCTTTTAATGAAGAAAGATACATTATCAGAAGAATGTACACAGTTTTATATCTCGGAAACTGCACTAGCTATCGATTCCATCCATAAACTGGGTTTTATTCATAGGTAAGCAAGTAGACATTTTCACCTTTACATAGTTATTGAGTTATTTCACAAAATTTTTTTCCAGAGTACACCACTTTAGTCTGTAACACAATTGCACTAAGAGTTCCTAATATAATATAACCATAGCTTACTGCTTCCATCTCTTCTCTAGAATCGTCTAGATATATTTACAGTGCACTCTCTCCTCTACAGGCAACATTAATAGGGAAATTTGACTTGGATGAAATGTATATCTAATTTGTTTTCCATATTAATTACTTGGGTATTCTACGTACACGAAAATTTTTGCTGTTTAAGCTGATATTATTATTTTTGTCCAGTTCTTCATCCTACTGTTAATTCTTTAAAAATAGGCAAAATAAAAGTATTCAAAAGAATTATATTCTGTAAAAGTAAATAAAAGGATTAAGTGATTACCGATGTAAATTGTTTCTAATATAAACGTAATTAAATGCAAGCTTGAATTTCCAAGATGATAAAAAATACCCACACACCCTACCACACAAATAATTTTTTGAAATTATACTTCCACAGTCGCGTCTTGCACTAAAGTAAATCAACGGTTTCAGAATTCTGACCTTAAGAAAGTATATAATATTAGACAGGTAAGAGGAGCGCAAGTATGTAGTAACGCTGAAAATTAGTTTGCTCATATAGAGCACTTTGGAAATTTGATTGGTTTATCTAATAGTAATCTATCACACAACAAAATTTAGAAGATTTCTACAGATTATTTCTTAACTGCAATGCAGTTATGATTCTTCGGTAAGGATGCTTGTTTCATTAAGATTTTTTTTTTTTTCATTTTTTGTATATATTATAGTTGTTACATATGCAATTCAGTATGAGTAAATGTGAGTGTACGTGAGAGATGCAAGCGTGACGTTAGATACTTTGTTAGCATAGGGAATTGTTTTAAAACCATGAGAAGATTCGATGAAAGCGCACAGTCATATACTGGCCAGCCTGATAACACGTTTTACTGTATCTTTACTTTGCACTGTTCTTGTTAACATGATGTATTTTTTTGTTTTAATAAAACCATTGCCGATCACAGAATATTTTAATTAAAATGGTAATTTCAACACCTCTAAAACATTGTAGTATATATTTAAAAATATCGTTTCATAGAAGATATGTTTTTATTCATACATTATTTAGCACCAAAGTATAACTTTATACTTAGTTACCCCAGCACCCACTGATCGCTGATTTTTTTTCCTTAATTAAATAAAAATGTTTGAAATAAGATTAATTCTATGTAGAATAACACCTCTACTNAAATGGTAGTAAAAATGTATTTTTTGGCAAGGTAGTTTACACTTAAGTGGCCTCTAAAAAAACCGATGAGATTGATGGTTAAGTAGGAAATGTAAATACTTATAATAGCCCTAAAAAGCGCCAGTGGTGAAACTTCTAGCTATTCCTCATTATTATTCTTGATGATAAAGAGCTGGCTACGGATAGCTTGACTCTTACCCTGGAAGTCTCTATGTACGGAAACTGTGATGGAGGGAGGTACGCCGCTGACCAAAGAATATTTTGTCTTCGGGTCGCTCCCCGGATAACCAACCGTTCATCGTTAGACAGGAACATGTGGGTATGCGCGTTGGGGACACGACCACTAAGAAAGTAGCCGTTGTGGCTGCTTGTGCCCCTCAGGGCTGTGTTTCCTGGCTTACATTTGCAGCCAAAAATTCTCTGACTGCACCAGGCGGGATGGTAGGACTGCCACACAACTCTGAAGAGTTGGAGTAGGTTGGGCTCTGGCTAGATATGTCTCTTGCGTGGTATTACGCCAGAGACGTCATTGTTTAAAATTATTTCTTATTGGTGGCACTCATCGAGATTCAGGGTGAATGTTGACCTAGGTCCCTTCCCCCTTTGAGAAGAGTGTCGTCCGTAACCGGGACTATCATCCACATTCTCTATGCAGTGCGATGAACTGCCGGAGGGTGGCTGCATCATTTTTCGAGACGCTCCGGTGTATTATAACCACACTTATTTAATTCTATTGCAGGTAGCCTTGATTTTATGTCAACGCCACCTAGCAGATCCTACTGAACTAAAGTGAAATGTGGCGTATTTTTGCAAAACTTTGAGCTTATTTATTGCTATTGTTATAAAATTTTTTAACATAAAAACTATTCTAAAATCATCTAGGAAGTGTCAAGAATCAGTGTGCAAATTTTCACCGAAATCGGTTCAACAGTTTTCGCGGTTAGCAATTACAACGATTTTAGCGACTTTGCTTTATGTATTAGTAAGGTGTCTTACATCTTGTACATAGAAAAGTGTTAAATTACTAATGATAATTACAGAAGAGACCAACAGTATATTCACAAAGTATTAAATACTGTTAAATATTGTATACAAAGGTTTAATTATTTTATGAAACAGAAGCTAGCCACTGTGCTATATGGAAAAGGCCACAAAAACTATTTTTGAGATAAAATGTAAGAGGCTCAAGTATACTGTAGGCCTTTCTAAAAGTATTCCCAATCATTAGACAAGTAGTATAATAACATTATAGCAGTTCCGAATTAAAGGCTATAAGTGATTTTGTTGTTTCAAAAAGTAATATCTCAAAAAGGGAAACAGCCAGACAGATGATATTTTTTCTATTTTGTTAATAGTGACAGATATCGAATGTAAAAAGAATTCGACCAATGTTTATCAAAACTATTAGAGCAAACCTGAGACATTACTAAGTATAACCGTGTGCGTGTGAAAACTCTTTTTTCTTAGACAACATTGTTAACAAAAGGGCGAAAAAAAATTCGTTAAGATCCACTTAGAATGTGTAAACATTTGTGTAAATATATATGTTTTATATGTATATCGACAGTCTAGAAAAAAATTTTAGTTTACGAGGCTGCACAAAAAAAAGTTATCTCCTTGCATTCGGACAAAAACTGAGTGTACTTATGATGTTCAGACAAATAATAGTTGAGCTCACGAAGTTGGACGAAAAAAAGCTTAGCTAACAGTGATTGGACAAAGATTGGCTTTGCTCAATGTAGTTGGATGGAAAAAATTTTAAGTTACGAGGTCAAACGAAGAGTATCTTAGGTCATTGAATTCTGTATCTTACCTGAACTAAATGAGCTGTAATTATCTAAAATAGTTGCAGAATTCATATTATTATAAGGTTGAAGCTATAATATTATAACAGTAATTATCACTATTGTAAAAATTATTATTATTTGATAATAGTTTTACCACTAATAATTAGTATTACTCATGTTATGGCTATTTTTCCTGCGAAAAAGTTATATAATTCTTTTTTTAATTACCATTTAATTTACTCATATCTAAAGCTTTGATTTTTAATTTTTGTTTTCATTAGTTGAATTACTAGAAATTATAACTTACACTTCATACATAGTACCTCTTTCGTACTCCAGTTGAAGCTAACAACAAGGTCCTATTGAGAAAAAGTAATTCTTTAGCCATCTTTTAAATTGGTGCCTCTTTTTATACACCTATTTGTCAATGTATTAATGTTGGTATTAAGCTGACACTTATTCGTCAAATAGCGGCCCCCCCTTCTCGGCTTTGCCCGAGACTTACTACATTGAACACCGCAGTGTGTTAACATGTAATGTGAAACATTTTCAGTTAGAAATTTTACATATAATGCTGACACTTCTCAGAACAAAAATCTTCTAATCAAAAACTTGTTTGTTTGGAATCCATATAAATTATTTGGCCAAAAAATAAGCTGTGAAAATTAAAAAATAGTCGTTGGCCCTAAAAAGGCCGTTGATTTGCCGTTTTTCCCGTATAATTTACGAAAAAGGCTATTTTTCAAAGCTGTAAAGATTGAAAGCTCACAAAAAATATGTAATTGAAAATGTTTTTTCTCTTATCTCACATTTTTATAACCACAGCAACAAAGTCACAAAACTTAATCTCTACACTTTTTATCGCCACAAAAATACAAATACATATTCTACTTATTTAAAAATCTGAATTTAGATCTTTAAAGATTTGAGAGATAACTGTAAGGGTACAATGAAAAGATGATCTCTCACGTAATGGATTCTTTATTTATCGTTTTTGACGCTGCTGTTCCAATCTCGATAAATCTTCTGCGTCAGTTTCTTGACGCCTGAAATTGTATTTATTAGATACATTTAAAGTTTCTCTTCCAATTTACCCTCTTGCGACTTTTGGCATGCTTAAGACTTTTGTGATCTCTAAAGGCTGTTTTTTGTCAACTTTGTTAAGTTCTAATATATTTGTTGGCAAGGTAGTTCGACGTCCGATCCCCCTAAAAAAAAACGGTGAGCTTTTTAAGTATACTCTTTCTTGACTGAAGTTAACAGCAATTGTGACTGACTGGAAAACTCAGGGTGATCTTCTCTTGCCTGCCGTTGAAGCTGTAGACTGATTGGGAGAAAAATTACAAAGTCTGAAGCTTTGAAGCTAGTTGTAGAGATCTTTCCCAACATCTCCTGGTATAACGTCAAAGACGTTGGTGTCGAAAGCACCTTCTTTTTTTTGCAGACTCAGTTATTTTGGTGATCTAAGATGGGGAGATTGGTTCGTGATGTTCGCCCGTTGGCTCAAGTTTTTTTTCCCTTCACAGTTGTTAGGTTCGCGCAGCACAGACCTTGGGGAAGATTGGTGATTCGTGGTTGAATGCTCAAAGTTGAGAGGGTAATATAGGGTCGTTAGTCAATGTGGTTCTCAGCATTGCAAAGAAAAACTCCGCTCGTGACGAGTGCCAGTGAATGACTTACTTGGTTTAGTAGTAGCTGTCTTTAGTTAGGATAGTCTTTTAGTCGATGAATCGCTTCTAGAAATGGTAGTAAAAATGTATTTGTTGGCGAGGTAGTTTAAACTTAGGTGGCCCTTAAAAGAACTTATGAGATTGATGGTTAAGTAGAGAACGTTAATACTTATAATGGCCCTAAAAAGGGCCAGTAGTGAAACTTCCAGCTATTCCGTATTATTATTCCTGATGATGAAGAGCTGACTGCGGGTAGCTTGAC